AGTATTGAATAAGGAGGAAAAGACAGCTAGTCAGTCTAAAACTGTAGATGAGCATCTGGGAAGGAAATAGAGAAACAAATCAGAGATGAGCAGAAGAATCTGCTACAGGAGGCTTGCTTGTGTGATGTGCTGAAGAAGAACTTGTGAAATAGCACACATAAAGAAGTGGAAATGTAACATAGGCTGAACATATCAGCTTATGTCTGCAAGACAGCAAACAACCTTCATTGTACAAAGCTCTGGTTATTTTGGGAAATGAGGATAGTTTTCTGCAAATTTTAAATAATTGTTTACTCAGTATATTGAACATAAAAATGCCTTGAAAATTGTATCATGGAAGCCTTTATTAAGTAAGAGAATTAAAAAACTTATAAGGCATACATAGTGAGACAATCTCTGTCTCAGAACTTAACCCTCATTACAAACATGACTTCTACCTTAATATAGTGAAGATGTAAGAGATAGTTCAGATCCCTGAGGGAGAAGCAGCCTTACCAGGCAAAAGAGGAAGACAATGCAGACAGTCCTGATGAGAACTGATAGACTAGGGTCAGAAGGAAAGGGAGGAGGACCTCCCCTATCAGTGGATTTGGGGGAGGGTCCTGAGAGAAGAAGAGGGAAGAAGGGTGGAATTCGAAGGGGAAGATGGAGAGGGCAGGGATCCAAAATGAATAAACTGTAATTAATAAAAAGATTAATTACTTAAAAAAAAGGGAGACAGTTCAGACACTGCATGTCAGTGAGGAGCAACCGCAGGACAATTCTCCTTAGCTCTGGAGCATTGTGGGAGTGAACTCCCTACTCCGCTGACAGTAATAGATTGTAGCAGGATCAGCCTCCACAGGTTGAATGGTGAGGCTGAAGTCTGTCCAAGACCCACTGTCACTGAAGCTGGCAGGGACCCCAGATACTAGGTTGGATGCTGCATACATGAAGAGGTTAGGGGGATGTCCTGATTTCTGTTGATAGCACTGCATAAAACTGTAGTTAAATGAATTGACACTCTCACTGGCAGTGTTGTAAAAGTGTATCTCTGCCCTAGAGAAAGAAGGCAAAGAAGCTGCAGACTGGGTCAGCACAATGTCACCAGTGAAACCTGAAATGATAAAACACATTGCTGTCACATATGTACTGTAAGCATCCCACAATAGAACATTTGTATTTGGAATATAGGATAGCAGCCATGAGCTGCACTCTGAGAAGCCATTAAGAGAAGAGAAACGTACCACTAATTAAATGCTATTATTTTTCAACTTTATATTTTTATTGATTCTCTGTCAATTTCATATCATGAACCCCATCACACTTATTTCCCAGTCCTTCAAGTCTCCAACTATTGTGACCTACTTCCCTAAAACTTAAAAATTAAAAAGAAGAAACTAATATCGTGTTCAATCTATGTTTCTATACATTCACTGGAGCATGGAGAAACTCTCAGTGACCTGTTTCTTTTTAAGTTCTCTCTTTTATTAAAAAATTAATTTTATTTATATGTTTACTACATTTTTTTTTGCTTTGTTTCCCCTCTGCAGCAGCCTTCCTCATCTCCTCCCAGTTGCACTCACCCTCCCTCTTCTCCCCCTATGCCCTCTCCCTGATCTCCTGATAGGGGAGAACTTTAGCTTCTATCTGACCCTAGCTTACCAGGTCCCATCAAGGCTGGATGTATCATTTTCCTTTGTGGCCTGGCAAACCTGCACACCCCAGAGGGAGTTGGTCATAGAGCCAACTGCTGAGTTCATGTCAGAGACAGTCTGTGTACCCTTTATGAGGGAACCCACTTGGAAACTGAGCAGCCAATGAGCTTCCTTCAAAGAGGTTGTCTAGGTCCTCTCCATGCATGGTTCTTGGTTGGAGTATTGGTCTCTTCAGGCCCCATGGCCCAGGTATTTTGGTACTCTTGTTCTCCTTCTGGAGATCTTGTCTATTCCAGGTCTTTCTATTCTCCTCTTCTTCTTTAATGGTTATAGCACTATGCCCAATGTATGGCTATGAGCCCCTGTATCTTCTTCAATACACTGGTGGGTTGAATCTTCCACAGAGGACCTTTAAATTCTCTCTTAAAAAGAACTGAGTTGCTGCTTTCCCACACACCAAGTCAGAAACCATGAATTGTGAAGCGCCAACTTCAGCACATGAACCACACTTTTTAAAAGTTCTGCCATTTTCTGAAGAGAAACAGAGGAGGAATTGTTGGGGGTGGCAGAAGGAAGGTAGGAGAACCTAGAAGGAAAGGAATGGAGGAGAAATTGTGGTCTGTATGTAAATAATAATGACAAAAACAACGACAAAACAATCAAAAAGAATGAGTTCACTTCAATGGCTTCCTATTTAGGCTACTACTTCTTGGGTCCTTGGGGGTTGAAATGAGTGTAGAGGTTATCACAGCAGCCTTTCATGTTCCTCTTTCTCACCTAGGTATGCAATCATCCTTTTCACTTCAAATAGAGGTTTCCTTGAACATTTTTAGTTTTATAGAATTATCAAAATTTTTTTTTACATTTTAAAATATATTTTATTAATTACAGTTTATTCACTTTGTATCCCAGCTGTAGGCCCCCTCCCTGAGACCCTCTTAATGTCACACTTCCTCCCTCATCTCTTCCTATGGCCCTTCCCAAGTCACTGATAGAGGAGGTTCTCCTCCCCTTTCCTCTGACCCTAGCCTATCAGGTCTCATCAGGACTGGCTGCATTGTCTTCTTCTGTGGCCTGGAAAGTCTGCCTCTCCCTCAGAGGTAGGTGAAGAAAGACCCAGCAACTGAGTTCATATCAGAGACAGTCCCTGTTTCCATTAGTAGGGAACCTACTTGGAGACTGAGCTGCCACGGGCTACATCTGTGCCGGGGTTCTAGGTTATTTCCATGCATGGTCCTTCCTTGGAGTATCAGTCTCAGAAAAGATCCCTGGGTCTACAATTTTAGGATCTGTTTCTTGACCTGTCCCTTGGGTTAGTTGAACAGGATATACCTGAAAGAGGGAGTAGAAATTGGGGGACTGAGACGCAAAGAATGGAGACAAGACAGATTCCTGATCAAGTCTCAGTTTACTGAACATGCAAACACTTATAAAGCAAAGGGTACAAGCAAAATTTTATCACAGTAGCAACACATCTGTGTTACCTGGCAAGGCAACCAAGAATTCACTCAAGTTCACACAAAGTCTGTTATCTGGTTCCCAAGGTTGCAGGGAGCTTGCTATCTATTTCTCAGGCTCAGAGCACCCTGCCTACAGAGACCGCCAAGGACAGTCTCTGAGAAATGGAATTTAGATAAGACCCAAATTTGCCAAGGCCAGGAGATAAAATTCCAAATATCAGACTCCTTCAGTTCCACCTTCTTTGTTTTATGGACAACCTGTCTTAGGTTGGTGAAATGTGCATTTTGCACTTATCCTTCATCAAGGTCACAGATGTGATTTTCAAGAGCCTCTGTCTTAGCTTGGAATAAACACAATTTCACTCTTATCTGTCATTGACTTACTTCCATATCAAACAGGGTTGTTAGAGATCTTTAATTTAAATTCATGCAACTGCACTTGCATGCATTGAAGTTGTTGAAGAAGGAACTGTAACACACAAGGCAAACAGGCACAGGCCAACAAACCCATACCTGCCATGCCTGCAAGTGCCCCTCCCCATTTAAGCACAGAGTCAAAGGATGGAAAGTGCATCCTGAGGCTAGTAAATATATCTCAGGCTGTATTGGCCAATTTCCACCTAGCTTCCTTTGCAGATTCTCCATGATGGATCTTATTTCTCATCATTAAAATGTCCAATGAGAAGTTTTTGCTAGAACAAATACCAGCAAGTTGATTCTGAACCTGAGTCCATTTAAATTCTGTTTCATCATACCAAGAATCAGAAACCTTAACAGAATCATAACAAAAGCAGGTTGCTTAACAACTAAACTGAAAGAGCACTATTATAGGCATTAACACAATTAGTAAGATTGCAATGTACACATTCAATCGAATAGGTATCATTATTCTTAAAATATCTTACTATAATGTTTCCAATTAGCAGTAAATAAGGAGGATTAATACATGTTAAAACAGAAGCATACTTGCTTAATTTAGCAAAGCTACTTCTATTCTCAGAGAGAATGCCTATGTATCCCAAGGTAGCCCTCAATTTCCATACATAGGTTTGCCAGTTTTTATTTGAAGTCCTCCAAAGTCCAGCACTAACAGCTTTTTATAAAACAAAAGAATTTTGACTGCCTTTATCAGAAGCCAATTTCTTTATACCCTTAATGATAGACCAGTCCAGGACTGTAAATGCAGGGTCATTGTCCCAGGAGTAGATAGTGGGCGTTTCTCCGATGTATCTTGGTCAAGGACAAGTGTGTTGATCCCCTTTCCCACAGGGTGGTTAATTCATTGGAGATGTAAGACTGTCATTCTTAACTCCTGTAGGAAGGGACAATAATATCCCCCCAATGTTCCACTTTGTCTGGTTGCAAAGGGAGGCTTGAACTGCCATCCCAACTTTAGAGTGGTAGGCATAACCTGGACAGGGGAGACCGGTAAGCAGTCCTGATGAATACTCTTTCTGGTAAAGCAAAGAGGATGACCCCTTCCCATTCTTGAAAAGTTAAGAGTCTGTTTTACTTGTGTTCCTTCAAAAGCAGGACAACCCAGCAGCCAAGTGTTGTTGACATAAACAAGGACTTCTGGATCATCACAGGAAACTGGATGTAGTAAAGGTAGATCAGGAATGTACATCCAATAAGCAGTCATCTTGACTGGAGGGGTCCTCATTGACATGATTATCATTGTCAGGAGAAAACTCCTCATCCACTTGTCACACCAGCCATTCCGGTAGCCATTGAGCTGCATCACTTTCCTGTGAAAAAACACAGACAGCTCCTCGACCCCATATGAGTACAGGGTCAGAACCATGCCATTGATTTGTTAAAGGATCCCTCTATTTTACTTTAGCAAAAGCTTTTTTAGTTTCTGTATGCCAAAATCTATCTGCTGCAGATTTACCATGCTTATCCAAGTTTTAAAAATTCAGAATGAAAAGAACATGATTAAGATGATTCTTAAGTGTCCAGGGAGTAGCTCCCCCTTCTTTGCTTTTTGCAAGTAAATCTTAATTGTACGGTGGGCACGCTCTACCATGCCTTGTCCTTGAAGATTGTAAGGTATTCGAGTTATATGAAAAACTTGAAATTGTTGACAAAAACTTTTAAAAGATTTGCTAATATATGCTCTTCCATTGTCAGTTTTAAACTGCTTAGGAACACCCAGAACATTAAAAGCCTAAAGACAATGAGCAATAACATTCTTTGGGGGAGGGATACTTGTTAGTTTTTGCTGGATATCCGTTGTTTTGAGATTAAAGTTCCTATGATCTCAGACTTAAATTAATGTCTGCCTGGATATCCACAGAGTGAATTCTGGGATGCTCTTTTCATCTTAGTCCTTTGTTTATCTTTGAAACTAGAGCCCAAATATCTGAGGCCTTGCTCTCTGTCTTCATTATCAGAGAGGTTTTGGAGATGAGTAATACTGAACACATTTAGCCTCAATTTTCCTTTTTCTTTCATCATTTCTTCCATCTTCCCTTTCTTTTAGCATGCTTTCTTACTCTGTTTCTTTTGTTGTATTTGTGATGTTTTTGAACATATCCTATTATTTCCCTAGGACAGTCAATCTGAAATAGCTCTACTAATGTTTCTACAGAAGTCAATTTATTTAAATGTCTTGAATTATAACCCAGGTCTGCTATTAGAGCACCTAGTAATTTTGTGTTTGACAGCTGTAAGGCAGTCTTCTTCAGTGATTGTTCATGCTCCCTGTAATATTTTTGACTGTTGATTTATACCAGCTACACTCACAAAAACTTCACAGGCATTTGCTTTTGTATTTGCTGACTGCTTTGCATGGGCCCCTTACAGTGCAGCCCAGCTGCCGAGAATATATAAACCATCCCCTTGCAATGAGAACTGAACTGCAGCAGACAGCAGGGGGAGCAAGATGAAGTCACAGACCAAGGTTTTCTTGTTCTTGCTGCTTTGGGTGTCTGGTGAGAAACTCAAA